CCAGAGCATACGCTGGAAACAGCTCGAGTAACGTGGCGGCAGGCGGCGGCAGCGATCAGCTTGTGAGGAACGAGTGAGGAGAAGTGGGGAGGAGTGAGGAGGAGGGGGAGGAGGAGGAGGAGGAGGAGGAGGAGGAGGAGGAGGAGGAGGAGGAGCAGGAGAGGAGGAGAGGAGGAGGAGGAAGGAGGAGGAGGAGGGGAGGAGGAGGAGGAGGAGGAGGAGGTTGAGGACGAGGAGGAGGAGGAGGATGAGAGGGAGGAGAGGGAGGAGAGGGAGGAGGAGGAGGAGGTGATGGGAGTCAGTGCGATTGGGGAAACACGCAAGCGCTAAAAGAAGTCTGGTGGGCAGACACGAGCAAACCGCCTGAGACATCCCCACCACCTGGACGCGAATCCTGGAGTGCCCCCGCTCCTAGCGGCTCCCCCCTTGGGGTGCCCAACTGCAACGCCTGATATATCGAGGTGAGCAGTGGACCACCACAGAAGAGAAGCCTGGAGGGCAACCACGGGGACACCACCCGAGACGTCCCCGCAGTCTGGGCGCGAACGGGCGAGTCTCAATACCCGCCTGGTGGTTCCCCCTCGGGGTGCCCAGACGCCACGCCCGCTACGTCGCGGTCAGCACTGGGCCACCACACTTGAACAGTCTGGGGGCAACAGCAGTGAAGGGGAACTGGGACACACAAATAAATATACACACACACAAATAAAAGGATTCCCCATATTTTCCTATATTTTCTGGGTTGTTGTCTCCCCCCAGCTTCCCATATTTTCCCATATTTTCCTGGGAATCGACGATCCATTGTGTCTGTGTGCTTCTTTCCCTCCTGAAGCAGGCAGGCCGCCTCGAGGCATCCCTGCACTCCGGGCGCGAGCGTGCGCGACAGTCCTGCTCCACGGCGGCTCCCCCTTAGGGGGTGCCCCAAAAGTGCCGTGCCTGCTGTGTCGAGGTGAGCAACGGACCACCAAGATACGCAGAAAGCATCTATACACCACCACCGTGCCAGGCCAGGGCCATCCTGGGCCCTAGGATGGTGTATACGCCCTCCTGACCGAGTCAAAATCATCTATACACCATCCTGCGGCCCAGGATGACCCTGGTCTGGCACGGTGGTGGTGTATGGATGCCTTCGTCGGACAAGAGCGACGCGGGGGGCAGGCACAGACACACCGCCCGAGATTCCCCCCCACAGCCCGGGTGCGGACCGGCAGAGCGCCGTGCCCACGGGCGGCCACCCCTCGACTCGTTCGCTCGCAGGAACGCGCGCAGGGAGCGCGTGGGCGGACGCAGGCATTTGCCGGCATGGCCTCGCAGGTCTTCGGGCACGGATGGAGGCACGCTGGCGGGTGCCAACTTTACGTCGCGCGCGGGAGGAGGAGGCAGAGGAGCACGAGGAGGAGGAGGAGGAGCAGGAGACGAAGCGGCATCGGCCGCGAACTTTCCCCAGACACCGGGCTCGCGGACGCTTTGCAACGCGGCCCCCTTGGAGGTGAAACGTGGACCTGCCAAACCCAGGACAAACTTCGACGATTGATTTCTCGGCCACCCCGCAGCACGGGCACAAGCGTCTGTAGCTGGCCGCAAACTGCGGGGCAGAAGTGTCGGGTGCCTCAATTACGCGTACACAGTACGTCGCTGTGATTCTGGCTAGGAACGTTTACGTCCATGGTGATGCGATTGCATACTCCTTCTTCCTGATCCCTCGCCGTGCCCTGGCCGCTGTCTCACATGTCGCACGACGCGCAGGCATCGCGCGACATTCTCGGATCGGCGCGCGGAATATTCTAGCAACCGCACAGGCACCCTCCTGACGCCTACAGTCGGGCCGCTCAAAGAAGGAACGCTAAAAAAGGAACAAGGCCCCCGCTCGGCCCTTTGAGCGCCTCCGTGCCCCATGAGGGCAAGAGGAACAGCACTGGAAGAGCCTAAGGAACATCGAGCCCCTTCCGAACCCCAACTGTTCCTTATTTCGGCGCCTTGACTGTAAGTGGTCCGTGTCTCAGAGTGCTGGCAGTGCACACGTCCGACCAACGCGGCGCAGCGGCCCTCTCGGCACGCAGGCCGCGCTCCGGGCGACGGGCCCAGGGCAGGCCGCGGGGAACGCCTGCCAAGCCAGGCGGAGCATGCAAGACTCTACCGAGCAGTGTCGTTCGAGCAGAGCCCCGTACACTTGCTTGCCGATTGCGGCCTCGCGCGCAGCGGCGAGGCATACAAAAGTGTACCCGAGCAACCTAGTTACGCTCGCGGCTAACCCTTCAGAACATGGGGCAACAATCCAAATCAATCAACCATACCATACGCATACCTGGGCATGTGTGACGAGGGCGGGAAGCAGCCAGGACGGCAGGGTGCAAGTAAAGGCGCACCCAAACCCGACGGCAACGGCGAGTAAACAAAGATGGGCGAGAGGGGAAGTACACACAGCCAATGGCGTGGACTGGGAAAACACTTCCCAGCCAAGGACAAGGCAAACAACAGCGCGACGAACCGCGCGCGGTGGCAAGAGGTGGCACCGAAAGGCACGGAAAACCCCAGCGGCGCATGGATGCCCCAGCAAACGGAGACTGCGCACACAATATACATTTCTTCCTCAAACGGCCGAATGACGTCACCACAGCAAGAGCTAGACTAGCCCACAGACTAGCCGAGTTCCGCACGGCGTAGCGAGCTGGTGGCTGCGCTAAACTACGCACGGCAACACCGTCGCGATGCGCTCAGCCGGGACACGCTTAGGCGAATTACCACTAGGCGTAGGCGTAGCAAATGGGTAGACTGGATGGGGGCAGTCGCATGCAAGGAACAAAATCGCGAAAGCGACTGCACGCGACACGCACACACACACACACACACACACACACTCACACACACACACACACACACACACACACACGCGCAAACGCACACATACACACAACGATGTACAACAAACGCACGCGCGCACGCACACACGAACGAGCGCGCGCACCGTTCCCTCCGGACTGCGGCAAGGAAGCGCTGCTGCGAGGAACGGGAAGCGAGGCCCGAGCTGTTCTGGGGCGCGGGAAGACGGGCGCCCGGGATCCAGCTGAAAACTGGTGCGGGCGCCCCCTGGAGAAGAACTCCAAGCTGAGCTGCGGCCACAGAGCTGCGTCCTTGATGGCCGAGCTGGAGGAGGAAGGAGGGGGAGGGGGAGGGGGAGGGGGAGAAGGAGGAGGAGGAGGAGGTGGAGGAGGAGGAGGAGGAGGAGGAGGAGGAGGAGGAGGAGGGGGAGGGAGAGGGGGAGTCCGGTGGCAACTCACGGGGGCCGCCCGTCCATACTATCTTTTCGGCTCTTGCGAATCAGCGCTGGCCGACGCTGATCGACGCTAAATCGACGCTAGGAAACATTTGTTCAATTCTTTGGGGATGGGATGGGGGATGGGGGGGGCCGGGGGGGGGAACGGTAAACGGGGCCGCGGCGCGCACCCCCCGAGTCGCGCCGCCTACGTCGTCGTCGTCGTTATCGTCGCCGTCGTCGTCGTGGTCGTCGTCGTCCAAGCCCACGCTGCCTGTGCACACAACATTATGTACACCACCATGCCCTTGCGCAAGAGAACTGCTGCAAAAATGGTATGTGTGTGTGCACCACGGCGACTATATACACCATAACAACCGTGTGCACCGCAGCGCCTGTGTACATCACGCTGTATGTGCACCACAGTGCTTGCGTACACCGCAGAGCTTGTGCACACCTGAAGGTACCGACGACGGAGCCAAACTCCGGAAAATCGTTGGGGTCCGAACGTGTCAAATCAAAAGTGCGCGCTGGTCGTGATTCCCTGTTATTTCTGGCCCAAGGAACGCTCGGATATTTTGGGCCCGCAACGCATGTGTACGCCAGAACGGCTGCGCGCGTCATGGCAGCTGCGCACACCACGGCGCCCGTGAATAACACGCGGCGTGGGGGGGCGCGCGGAGCGGCGTCAGCCGAGGGAATGCACGCAGGAGAAGCAGGAGGAACAGCAGCACCAGCACGAGAGGCAGGAGGAACAAAAGGAACCCCACGATGGGGTCGACAGCTCGGGGCCCGCGTTTTTTGTTCCAAGAGCACTGCCTGAATGCACACCATCGTCTAACAACATGTACACCTCTACGGCCCCGGCTGAGCCAAAATTTCCGGGAAATTGCCGGGGGGCCGAGTGAGTATGGATTTTTCTGGCCCGAGGAACGCTCGGACATTTTGAGCCCACAGGGAATGTGAAACACAACGCCGGTGTGCACCACAAAACCTGTGTGCACGACAATGCTTGTGTACACCACGATGCCTCGTCCTGCATGCGCAAGGAGGACGACGACGAGGAGGATGATAATGACGAGGGGGGAGGAGGCACAATTAGGAACAGATGCGTGGGTACATCATAGCCCACATTTCACGCTTACATCATAGCGACTTTGCGCACTACAACGATTGTGCACATCACGGCGCCTGTGTAAACCACAAGGCTTGTGATGTGTACACCACAATGCTTGCGTACACCCACAATGCCTGTAGACACCACACCTGCTGCTGCAACGACAGTTGTGTGCACCACAACGCCAGTGTACACCGCAGTGACTGCGTACACCATAGTGCACGCCTGCGTGCACCACAGGCCCTGGGCTGCCAAAGATCGCGCACTGGACCAGGCCGGGGCGTTACTGTTACGGATGGGGGGGCAGGGGGGGGAAACATGTGCTGTTTCTTGGGTAGATGAATGGTCGCCAAATCGACGCTAATCGACGCTGACCGACGCTAAATCGGCGCTGTCGCATCGACTCCCAGACGCTCCTCGACGCTAGAGACGGAGTCAAGAGGGTATACCAGGCTCCCAGGATTTGCTACCGAAGGCGAGGGGGAGGAGAAGGAGGAGGCCGCCCTCCCGCCCCCCCCCCCGGCATCAACGCCCCCGCCCCGCCCCGGCGGCCGGCAGACCCGCGCATCCTTTTTCGAGCAGAATCGCTGGCTGACCACAGCGCGGACGCGCCCCACAGTCGAGCTCCCTTCAGACACTCACAGTCGCAGCGAAATGCAAGAAAAAAACTACCGCCGATGCCACCACGGAACCACCCGACTCCTCATCGTCGTCGACTTCCTCCACCTCGTGTTTCTCCGTCTCATTGTCCCTCAGAGCTGCCCCAACGTAACTTAAGATCATGATACTCCGCAGGTTCCAGGACAACGATCGGAAGTACCATGCGTTACATGCATCGATGGATGGATGGAGGGGATCGATGCACACAGGGGCACGGGGAGGGAAAGTGGGAGAGGTGAGACGCATCCCAAGACACCATAGTATTCCGAGCCACTTTGCGGGACGCCCTCCCTGGGAGGCTCACCAAGAGCATGGTGGCGGGATTGGACGAAACCCGCTGGATTAGGGGGAGTTCTCTGATCACGATCCGCTGAGGCCCGAAACCACCCTCCAGGACAAGACACTAACAACAAAAAATCCGGTCGGCTCCGGGACATAATAACATCTTCGAAAGAACCTGAGACCCTCCGCCAGCCAAACTGAAGAACGTTCGAGGGTACCCTCCCCCAGGACGCGCAAGAACATCCAACAAACACGAAGAAGACTAGGGTAAATTCCCCGAATCGACCTCGATCTCATACCTCGGTGCGACCGGATGCGAACTTCCTCCTCTTCTTCCTACTCCTCCTCCTCCTCCTCCTCCTCCTCCTCCTCCTCCTCCTCCTCCTCCTCCTCCTCCTCCTCCTCCTCCTCCTCCCCGTTCCTCCTCCTCCTCCTTCCCACCGCACGCCCCGCCCACCCCGCGTGCGGGGTGGGGGAAAAGGAGGAGGGAAGGGGGAGGGAGCATTGACGATGGAGGGAGGAAACGACGGAGATGAGCAGGGGGAGGAGGAGGAGGAGGAGGAGGAGGAGGAGGAGGAGGAGGAGGAGGAGGAGGATGAGGAGGAGGAGGAGGAGGAGGAGGAGGAGGAGGAGGAAGAGAAGGGGGATGGGGAGGGATGGTGATCATGACGAGGGCCCTTCGCTACTTCCCCCTCCTTTTTCCTCTCAGGGAAGCCTACGAAGGAGGGAACTGGCTCAGGAGGGAACAGAAATGGCTTGGAATCGACGACCCGTCCACGACGGGCCCCCGATGGGGAAACCCACCATCCCTGGGCAGGCGGGGGCGTCCATGCCCAGGTGGGTGAGGCATGGGCGATGGGGAGGCCGTGCCCCCCACCCAGCATGGGGGAAGCTTGGTGGTCCCCAAACGTGGTGGTGAGAACACACGGTGGTGAGTTTTGGGCGATTTGGGTAATGGTTTTCGAGCGCTGGCTGGCCCAGGAAACGCAAAACCTCGTGGCGACCGCGTGTCCCCAAACCCGGTGGCGACCCAGAATTATTTTCTGGGGGAATCGGGGTCACCACGGGGTGTCTCACCACCTGGTTTGGAGACCACCAAGAAGCGGGTCCCGAGGGAAACGGGTTCTGGACCCCAGGACCTCCCCAACGGGACGAGCCTTTCATCCCACGCTGTTCTCCGAAAGCCCCTGCCGGCCCGCGGGGGGCCCCAGGGAGCCCCGCAGTAGGCATCAGACCCCAGGACGCGCTCCCCCCGAGCCAGCTCCCCGGGTCGGCGTCCCCGATCGCGGCTGCTGCAACAGGGTGCCGATGGCCCTTGGGGGGGAGCGCGGCACGCCGCCGAGTGTGTCGGGGGCGACGATCGCCCAGGGGAGAGCAATACATGCTTCCAAGGGCACCGAAGGCCCATGCCTTCGGCAAGGCTCCCGGGGAGGAGGAGGAGGAACGGGGAGGAGGAGGAGGAGGAGGAGGAGGAGGAGGAGGAGGAGGAGGAGGAGGAGGAGGAGGAGAAAGAGGAGGAGGAGGAGGAGGAGGAGGAGGAGGAGGAGGAGGAGAAAGAGGAGGAGGAGGAGGAGGAGGAGGAGGAGGAGGAGGAGGAGGGCTCCCTGATGCCCGCCCCTGGGCTGTTCGCCCCCCTCGTCGCCTCTGCGGGTGCGGCTCGCCCATGCCTTCAGAGAGGCCCCCCGGCGGACGCGCAGAGTGCACGCCCCCAGACCTCCGACGTCGTGGCTTGTTACATCGGGGGCTGCCAAACAGGTGCCCTGGCCTCAAGTGCCCCCAGCTTTTCGCTCCATTTTGGAGCCCAATTGGGCCCTCTGGGCCTCGTGGCGGGTGCTCTGGAGACCGTGGGGGCCTCCTTGGAAATCCTTGGGGCACCCTGGGCCAGGGGCACTTCTAGCAGCGCCCGATTGTTCACAACGTCGATTGGACTTCTTCCCAGGGATCGGCTTCCCTTCCAGCGTCGTCTGTCTGTGAAAAAAAACGCCCCGTTACTAGTTCCTCGTGACGCGAAGATGTCCGGCCCACGGGTTGTCCCTCGGACGTTGCCTAATGGGAGGGTAGTTATCCGCGGGGGGGCCAAGGCCGAAGGCGTAGGGCCTTTTCCAGCAGCCCTTAACCCCCCTGTTCCCATACACCCTGCGAAATGCTTAAGAAATCATGGGTTAAGACATTCATAGTCTCAGAATTCTAATAAAAGACCAAATTTCTACTAAAAAGTTAGGTTCTCCATTGGAACAATAAGAATAATCAAGACTCTGGCCGAAACCTTACGTTTTCTTAAGCATCGCCTAGGGTGCACAGCCGAAGTCGAGGGACAGCGCCCCAAATGACAATCACACCGTCGGCGATCTGGGCCCATCGCCCCCCGCATCGCGTGTCGCCTGGTCCTCCTCCGATGTCTCCTCGGGGCTCAGGGTTCCTGGCCCGGGTCCCCTCAGGGGCGGTGCCATCCCCTCGCCCCCGAGGGGCGGTCGCACCCGGGGGGCATGATCAGACTCGGGCATCAGGAGTGAGTACAACATACATGGAAGAACACAGGGGGTCAGAAGCCCAGGGGCGAGCCCGGGGGGAACTGAGAAGGTGCGGGCCGTCTCAGAAGGCTCGGAAGTCCCCCAACATTCTGAGACGTTTCCTGAGCATTCCTCGAAGACACACAAAACTTCTCAGAAGGCGCGAGGGCTTCTGAGAAGTCCCGACGCCCACTGAGAAGGCCTTCTCCTTGTCACTTCCCCCCCTCGCTCGCCGCTGAGAAGGGGGCACCCTCCATAGGGGGGTGGGGCAGCTAGGTCCCCAACCACCCCTGAGGGAGGGGAGGGGAGGAACGAAACGGCGACGACGGAGGCCTGTGACCTCCTTCCCCGGGACCCACTGCAACACCGCGAGACATCCGAACATCGGGCCAGATACGCAAATGGGTATAGAAGGCTTTGGCCACCTTCAAAGGATCCGCTTGAATCTCGGCCTTCGTCAAGAGGTCACCTCGGCCTTCGTCGAAGCATCACGGCCAGAGCTCTGGACCCCATCTTTCCGCCGCATTTTGCGAGCCCGATCGATCTGTAATGGCTCTGGGGTCCCAAACTTTGCGAAAAGGCCCCGTGTAAAAAATGCATCGTCGGGATCTGAGGGTCCTCCTCCTCCTCCTCCTCCTCATCCTCCTCCTCCTCCTCATCCTCCTCCATCTCTATTCCTTAGAAGTAACTCCTCCGCGTCGCACCCCGAGACGTGTCGGCAGGGCGGGCCGTGCGTTTCGCCTCGGACTTCCCCACCACTCATGACCCTGGAATTGAACCTTTGCCGCAAAGTCACGGATGGACGGCAGGTCTCTTTCAAAGCACCTTCGCCCCAAAAGCTTTGCGAGGAGCCCTGCGGGTTTGGAGGACAGCTCGATGTCAGCGTGGGGCTCTCGACGTGGCGCCGCGCGCACCCTGTTAGGAGGGCACCGACTATACACCAACACCGAACCTGGCCAGGATCACCCTGGGCCCAGGATCGGTGTATACGCCCTCCTGCCTTGCGCAAGAAGGCGTATACACCGATCCTGGGCCCAGGGTGATCCTGGGCCAGGATCGGTGTTGGTGTATAGCTGGTGCCCTCCGACCTGTGCTTATAAAAAGCTGCACGAGCTTCACGGATGTGGGGGCGGGGCAGCTTGACGTGCTCCTCGCCCTGGCGCCACGCACGCCTACGTTAGACATTTGCAACAAAAAGGCAACGGATGGAGGGCGGGTCGTTTTGAAGTGTGGCCATCGCCTCAGCGGGTGCATTCCTCTGAAGAGCCCTCAGCACTTTCAAGGATTCTTGTGGCATGCGTCCCAGAAGCTGTCTTGCCGGCACTGTGCAGGGCTGTCGGGATGCAGCAGTCACGTTGATTCGCGGTGTTGAAGTCCCAAGGATGTTGTTCAGGTACACGGTTCAGGATCGCCAACATGCAATGAGAACGTTAGCTCGCGGTGTTGAAGTCCCAGGCATAGTGTTCTGCCATGGTTCAGAATTTTCGCATGGCTGTCTTCCAACGGTGAACACGAACCCTTGTAAGAGCACTGGCAAAAGGGAAATCGGAGGGAGGGCTGATCGCAACATCGCTCACGCCTCCTGTGCTTTGCGCTGGTTCTCCTCCTCTTCCTTTCCCTCTTCCTCTTCCATTTGGACGCCCGAAATGGATTCGGCAAGAGTGGGTACAATGCCCAACAGCCAGCAGCGGCCGCTGTTGGGCGGGCGGCCTCCTGTCTCGAATGGACACGGGCCGCGGCGGCGCGGACAGCGAGCCCTGTTCAAAGTATGAACAGGAACTGCTGCTGGGCACCGTACCCCTTCTTTCCGTACCCCCTTCCTGCGTGCAGACCTGGAGGAGGAGAAGGAGGAGGAGGAGGAGGAGGAGGAGGAGGAGGAGGAGGGCGGAAGGAGGAGGAGGAGGGCGGGAGGAGGAGGAGGAAGAGGAAGCGTGCGCGCAAACTCCACGCCTCCGCCTCCACGCCTCCGCCGGCGATCCGCGGGCCCGGGGCCTGCGCCGTGCCGGCGGGGCCCCAGGGCGCGCCGACCCCGCGCGGCAGCGGCGCCGCGGCGGGGGGCGGGCGGAGGCGCGCCGCGGGCGCCGCGGGAAAGAGGGAGGGAGAGGGGCGCGGGAGGGGGGCGCGCTGCGGGGGAGCAGTGGAGGGCGGGGGGGGCGGGAGGGATGGGGGGGCGGGGGGGGGGGGGGGGGCGCTGCGGGGGGGGGGGCCGTGGTCTATACCCAAGTCGGATGGGCTAGACCCTGGTTGGGGGCTGTATAGCCCGGTTGACCAGGGGGCACCGCTCTGGAATATAAGCTCCGGAAGACCTTCCACAACTGATTTCGATTGACAACCATCCTTGGGAAGTCTGGAGTGACAATCGTGTGACCTTCAGGGGTCCACATGGTTTCCTGCGAAAATCCCAGGGGGATAACCCATCTGCAGACATGATGTTCGGGCGGCTCCTATGTGAATAGTATATTCCTGTATCCGAGTAGACGATATAAATCGCTTACAGTTCCTCTGTGAAAAGTATGCGGACCCAATGCGAATCGGATATGATGCCGATGTGTATGGTATGCGATTCCTAAGTGAACCGTGGGCAGATCCTATGTGAATCGCACTGCTTTCCAATGTGAACCGTATACAAAGAAATGCGAATAATATACGAATCCCACGTGCATCCGTATTCGGACCCACTGTGGACAGTATTCGGCTCCGATGTGAATCGCATCGATTCCGATGTGGGTCGTAGACGACCCCCATGCGATTCGCAAAAGACTCCTGTGAATCGTATACGGTTCCCACGCGAATCGTGAACGAGTCCTGTGTATCGTATACGGCTCCTACGTGAAGCGTGTACGTCTATGTGACTCGTTTACGGCTCCTATGTGGGACGCATGCGGTTCCTGTGTAAAAAATGTACGATTCCTTTGTGAGTCGTCACCGGTTCCTTTGTCAATCGTAAACGAATGCGAATCCTGTGTGAACCGCATACATCCCATGTGGATCGTAGACGGACGACTCCGAGGTGAAACGCGCACGCGTGTTTTAGGAATCGTATAAAATTCTTATGTGAACCGTATACAACTCCTGTGTGAATTGTATCCGGGCCCATCTGGATCATATACAGGCCCTGCGTATATCGTATACGATTTCTGCGGATCGAATACGATATCCATGTGAAGCATGTACGAACTGTGTGAGCCGCATACGCTTCCAATGTAGGCCATTCACGATCCGAATGTGAATCGTGAGCGATTCCTATGCGAATCGTATTCGGATCCTATGTGGATCGTGCACGGTTCCTGTGTGAATCGTATGCGATTCGTATATGAACCGTATACGATTCCTGTGATTCGTCTGCGTTTCCCATGTGCTTCGCATGCGAATCCTACGTGACTGGTATACGTGTCCTAAGAGAGCCATGAAAAAACCCAAAGGACTCCCACTGTTCCCTAAGGAATCCGAGGGAATCCGACGGAACCCTAAAGAAACCGCAGGTTTCTGAAGGAACCTGGAGGATCCTCAGAGATCCTAAAGAATGGGCCGAACTGGAATCTCGAGGGAATTCTCGAGAAACCTGTGGAATTCTGAAACGGATCCCAAATAACCCTGAAGGAATCTCACAACAAATTCAGGAACCGGAGTAAAACCTAAGACACCCTGAGAAACTCTAAAAGCATCCGTAGGCCGCGGAGGTCCCAGGAACCCGAAAGCGGAGGAAAACCTCCAGGACCGGTTTTCCTCAGCAGGAAGCGGACATCAACGTGTCCGGCGCCGCCACGGGGGTCCAGCGATGATTCAAGACATGCGCGCGGACCTCCGAAAGATGAAGCATGCTTACGTGAGCAGTTTTTCCCCAAAAAGTGCTTGCATTTCGGTCTTACTTCTGTTTTGACGAACTGGGCCTCGGAGGTTGTCTGGCGGCTATGTCGCCGCCGCCACCTCGTCGCCGCCTTGATCTGGGCCTGGGGGTCGGTCTGGCGGCCGCCCGTCGTCGGGGCCTGGGGGTCGGTCTGGCGGCTACGTTGTCGCTGTGGCCGCCCCGTCGCCGCCACATACATTCTCCTTTCTGCAAAGAAAATAGACTTTACCCCCCCCCCCGGCGCTATCGGTACCCATTTCGGGTATGTAGATCATATATGATTCTGACCACATGTCCATCCTAAAAATGAAATCGCAATGTCCCAGGCCAGCTGGTATCCCCCCCTTGAGGTTCCCTTCAAAAAAAAAACGCGGTGACATCATTTGTTCTAACATAACACTTGTTCACGACTCCCTTGCAAAACATGGGACGAAGTGCACACGCGCGCGTCGTCGCGGCGCATGCCGAAATCCTTCAAGAACCCTCGGTGCCGGAAGGACTTCGCAATCGAGTATCCAAAAAACATACCAAAACACATGGTTTCGCAAAACCGATGTGCGTAAAAAGCTTACGCGCGAGCTCTTGCGAAATCTTAAGAAAGCCATTGATTTTTCAAGATTTTCTCAACATGCTACCAAACGGGGTTCGCGCAGAAGTTTTCACGAATCCCTTGCAACAAAATGGCGAAGTGCACGCGCGCGCGTCGTCGCGCGCGCCTGCCGAAATCGAGTTCCCCCCAAAAACATGGAAAAAACACAAGGTTTCGCAACATTGATTTGCAAAAAAAGCTTACGCGCGAGCTCTGGCGAAATCTTAAGAAAAAACCGCAAGTTCTTTCATGATTTTCACTAAATGCTGCCAAACGGGCTTCGCGCGCGCATGTCGAAATCTGTCGAACGCCCTTGCGCGTGTGCCGTCGCGAGAATCTCCTGCAAAAAATGAGACGAAGTGCAGACGCGCGCGTCGCCGCGCGCGTGTGCCGAAAACCTTAAAAACCCATTGGTTTCGGACAAAATTCAAAATCGTGTCCAACAAACCTACAAAAACACAAGGTTTCGCAACACGGATGTTCGACAAAAGCGTGCGCGCGGGCTCTTGCGTAGTCGGCTTCTCGTCGTCGCCATCCTCCCTCCTCCCGCGTCGTCGTCGTCGTCGTCGCCTACGTCGTCCTCTGTCTTCCCTCGTGTTCGTCATCGTCGTCCTCATTGGCGTCGTGGTCGTTTCCGTCGTCGTTGTCGCCGTGGTCGTCCTTCCTCCTCCTCCCTGTTCGTCGTCGTCGTCCGTCGTCGGCGTCTCGTCGTCGTCCCTCCTATTTCGCCGCCGTCGTCGTCGTCGTCGTCCTTCTCCCTCGTCGTTGTCGTCGTCGGCGTCGCCGTCCTTCCTCCTTCTTCGTCGTTCGCGTCGTCGCCGTCCTCCCTCCTCCATCGTCGTTGTCGTCGTTGTCGTCGTTGAAGCCGTCGCCGTCCTCCCCCCTCCCTCGTCGTCTTCGTTGGCGACGTCGTCGTCGTCGTCTTAGTCGTCGTCGTCGGGGTCGGCGTCGTCGTCGTCTTCGTCGTCGTCGACGTCGGCGTCGTCGTCGTCGCCGCCGTCGTCGTCGTCGTCGTCGTCGTCGTCGTCGGCGTCGTTGACGTCGTCGTCGTCTCCGGTGTCGTCGTTGTCGTCGTCGTCGGCGTCATCGTCGTCGTCGTTGTCATCGTCGTCGTCGTCGTCGTCGGCGTCGGCGTCGTCGTCGTCGTCGGTGTCGTCGTCGTCGTTGTCGGCGTCGTCGCAGTCGTTGGTGACGTCGTCGGTGTCGTCGTAGTCGTTGTCGTTGGCGTCATCGTCGTTGTTGTCGCTGTCGTCGTCGGCGTCGGTATCGCTGCCAAGCGCAATTTGGTACCCACCGTCACGGTCTTAAGAGATTTTGCAAACCAAGAAGCGGGTGCGTGGGTGGGATGTTTGCGCGAGCAGTGGAAGTGGTCAGGCGCGGTGCAGGGTAGTCAATTCCCCTTTATTCTCCTTTCTAAAAAACACTCTACCCCCCCCCGGCCGTTATCAATACCCCTTTCGGGTATGTAGATCATATATGATCCTGACCACATGTCCATCCCAAATATGAAATCACAATGTCCCAGGCCAACTGGTACCCCCCCCGGAGGGTCCCCCGTGGAGGGAAACAAAAAAACGGTGCAGTGACATTGTTTGCTCTAACTTGCCACTTTTTCGCGAATCACTTGCAAAAAAGGGACGAAGTGCACACGCGCGCGTCGTCGCGCGCGCGTGCCAAAATCCTTCAAAAACCTTCGGTGTCGGAAGGATTTCGCAATCGAGTTTCCCCAAAAAACATACAAACACACAGGATTTCGCAGCACTTATTTGCTAATAAAGCTTACGCGCGAGCTCTGGCGAAATCTTAAGAAAAAACCGCAAGTTCTTTCATGATTTTCACTAAATGCTGCCAAACGGGCTTCGCGCGCGCATGTCGAAATCTGTCGAACGCCCTTGCGCGTGTGCCGTCGCGAGAATCCTCTGCGAAACATGGGACGAAGTGCAAAGGCGCGCGTCGTCCCGCGCGTATGCCGAAATCCTTCAAAGAGCATCGGTTTCGGAAGGATTTCGAACTCGTGTGTCCAAAAAACCTACAAAAACAAAAGGCTTCGTCGGTATCATCATCATCATCATCATCATCGTCTTCCCTCTTCCCTTGCCGTTATCATCATCAGCGTCGCCGTCCTTCCTTCTTCTTCGTCGTTCGCGTCGTCGCCGTCCTCCCTCCTCCGTCGTCGTTGTCGTTGTCGTCGTTGTCGCCGTCGTCGTCCTCCCTCCTCCCTCGTCCTCGTCTTCGTTGGCAACGTCGTCGTCGTCTTCATCGTCGTCGTCGGCGTCGGCGTCGTCGTGATCTTCGCCGTCGTCGATGTCGGCATCGTCGTCGTCGCTGCCGTTGTCGTCGTCGGCGTCGTTGACGTCGTCATCGTCGTCGGTGTCGCTGTTGTCGTCGTCGTCGGTGTTGTCATCGTCGTTGTCATCGTCATCGTCGTCGTCGTCGTCGTCTGCGTCGGTGTCGTCGTCGTCGTCGTTGTTGTTGTCGGCGACGTCGAAGTCGTTGGAGACGTCGTTGGTGTCGTTGTAGTCGTTGTCGGCGGCGTCGTCGTCGTTGTCGCTGTCGTGGTCGGCGTCGCTGTCGTTGCCAAGTGCCATGTGGTACCCACCGTCACGGTCTTAAGAGATTTTGCAAACCAAGTTGCGGGTGGGTGGGTGGGATGTTTGCGCGAGCAGTGGAGTGGACAACTCACTGCAAACAAAAATTACTAAAAACAGAATAGACTCTCCCCCACCCCCCAGCGTTATCGGTCCACCTTTCGGGTCTGTAAATGACATATGATTCGGACCACATGTCCATCCTAAATAAGAAATCGATATGTCCCAAGACAGCCGGTATCCCCCCCCCCCTGCGGTTCCCTTTGTATAAAAAATACTATGCGGTGACAACTTTTGTTCTAACATAGCACTTGTTCACAAATCGCTTGCAACAAATGGGACGAAGTGCACACGCGCGCGTCGTCGCGCGCGCATGCCGAAATCCTCCAAAAACCTTAGGTGCCGGACGGATTCCGCAATCGAATTCCCCCAAAACATACAAAAACACATGGTTTCGCAACACTGATTTGCTAAACAAGCTTCCGCGCGAGCTCTGGCCAAATCTTAAGAAAACCATGGGTTTTCCACATTTTCACAACATGCTATTAAACGGGCTTCGCGCGCGCGCATGTCGAAATCTGTCGAACGCCCTTGCGCGTGTGCCGTCGCTAGAATCCTCTGCAAAAAAAGGAACGAAGTACAGACGCGCGCATCGTCGCGCGCAGATGCAAAAAACCTTCAAAACCCATGAGTTTCATAAGGGTTTCAAAATCGTGTGTCCAAAAAACTTATAAGAAAACACAAGGCTTCGCAACACGGATTTTCAACAAAAAAGTGCGCGCGCGCGCTCTTGCGTCGTCGTCGTCGTCGTCGCCGTCCTCCCTCCTCCCGCGTCGTCGTCGTCGTCATCGCCTACGTCGTCCTCCGTCTTTCCTCGTGTTCGTCGTCGTCGTCCTTTGTGGCGTCGTGGTCGTTTCCGTCGTCGTTGTCGCCGTGGTCCTCCTTCCTCCTCCTCCCTCGTCGTCGTCGTCGTCGTCCGTCGTCCGCGTCTCGTCGTTGTCCCTCCAATTTCGTCGCCGTCGTCGTCGCCGACGTCGTTGTCGTCGTCGCCTTCCCTCCTCCCTCGTCGTTGTCGTCGTCGGCGTCGCCGTCCTTCCTCCTTTTTCGTCGTTCGCGTCGTCGCCGTCCTCCTTCCTCCCTCGTCGTTGTCGTCGTTGTCGCCGTCGCCGTCCTTCCTCCTCCCTCGTCGTCGTCTTCGTTGGCGTCGTCGTCTTCGTCGTCGTCGTCGGCGTCGTTGTCGTCGTCGAAGTCGTCGGTGACGTCGTCGGTGTCGTCGTACTCGTTGTCGTCGGTCTTGAGAGGTTTTGCAAACCAAGTTGCGGGTGGGTGGGTGGGATGTTTGCAAGAGCGTGGGATGCGTCTAATCATGAGTAAAATGCAAGCCTCCTTTTTTAAACGAGAATAAATAGATTATACCCCCCCGGACTTATCGGCTCCCCCTGGGATCGTATGATTTCATATATATATATATATATATATATATATATAGATATGTATTTCAGGAATATGAAATCATACCATCCCAGCCGGACCGGTTTCCCCCCTGAGGTTCCCTTGTAAAAAAAACACTATGCGGTGACCTTTTTGTTCCAACATAACACTTTTCACAAACCCCTTGCAACAAATGAGACGAAGTGCACACGCGCGCGCCGTCGCGCGCGCATGCCGAAAACCTTCAAAAACCTTCGGCGCGGGAAAGATTTCGCAATCGAACTTCCAAAAAACATGCAAAAGCACAGGGTTTCGCAACACAAAGTTGCGAAACAAGTTTCCGCGAAAGCTCTTGCGAAATCTTAAGACAACCATGGTCTTCCAACATGTTCACAAAATGCTACCAGGCGGGCTTCGCGCGCGCGCGCGTGTCGAAACCTGTCGAACGCCCTTTGCGCGCGTGCCGTCGCGAGAATCCCCTGCAAAAAATTAAACGAAGTGCAGACGCGCGCGTCGTCGCGCGCGTACGCCGAAAACCTTCAAAACCCATGGGTTTCGGAAGTATTTCAAAATCGTGTGTCCAAAAAACATACAAAAAACGCAAGGTTTCGCAACACGGATGTTCAACAAAAGCGTGCGCCTGCGCTCTTGCGTCGTCGTCGTCGTCGTCGTCGTCCGCCCTCCCTCCTCCCGCGTCGTTGTCGTCGTCGTCGTCGCCTACGTCGTCCTCTGTCTTTCCTCGTGTTCGTCGTGGTCGTCCTCTTTGGCGTCGTGGTCGGTTCCGTCGTCGTTGTCGCCGTGGTCGTCTTTCCTCCTCCTCCCTCGTCGTCGTCGTCGTCCGTCGTCGGCGTCTCGTCGTCGTCCCTCCTATTTCGTCGCCGTCGTCATCGTCGTCGTCGTCGTCGTCGTCGGCATCGTCTTCCCTCCTCCCTCGTCGTTGCCGTCGTCGGCGTCGTCGTCCTTGCTCCCTCGTCGTTGCCGTCGTCGGCGTCGTCGTCCTTCCTCCTTCTTCGTCGTTCGCGTCGTCGTCGTCCTCACCCCTCCCTCGTCGTTGTCGTCGTTGTCGCCGTCGTCGTCCTCCCTCCTTCCTCGTTGTCTTCGTTGGCGACGTCGTCGTCGTCTTCGTCGTCGTCGGCGTCGGTGTCGTCTTCGTCGTCGTCGACGTCGGCGTCGTCGTCGTCGCCACCGCCGTCGTCGTCGTCGTCGTCGTCGGCGTCGTTGGCGTCGTCGTCGTCGGTGTCGTCGTTATCGTCGTCGTCGGCGTCGTCATCGTCGTCGTCGTTGTCATCGTCGTCGTCGTCGGCGTCGGTGTCGTCGTCGTCGGTGTCGTCGTCGTCGTCGTCGTTGTCGGCGTCGTCGAAGTCGTTGGAGACGTCGTCGGTGTCGTCGTAATCGTTGTCGGCGGCGTCGTCATCGTCGTTGTCGCTGTCGTCGTCGGCGTCGCTGTTGTTGCCAAGTGCAATTTGGTACCCACCGTCACGGTCTTAAGAGCTTTTGCAAACCAAGTTGCGGGTGGGTGGGTGGGTGGGATGTTTGCGCGAGCAGTGGAGTGGACAACTCACTGCGAACAGAAATGAATTCTCCTTTCTAAAAAGAGAATAGACTCTACCCCCCGGACTTATCAGCTCCCCCTGGGATCGTATGATCTCAGATATATAGTCTGCACACTCGCCCATCCTAATATGAAATCGCATCATCCCAGCCAAACCGGGTCTCCCCCTGAGGTTCCCTGGTAAAAGAAACACTATGCGATGACATTGTTTGTTCTAACATAGCACGTTTGTCACGAATCCCTTGCAACAAAAGAGACGAAATGCACACGCGCGCGTCGTCGCGCGCGCATGCCGAAATCCTTCAAAAACCTTCGGTGCGGGAAGGATTTCGCAATCGAGTTCCCCAAAACACATACAAAAACACAGGGTTTCGCAACACTGATTTGCTAAAAAAACTTCCGCGCGAGCTCTTGCGAAATCTTGAGAAAACCATGGATTGTTCAAGTATTCACAACATGCTACCAAACGGGCTTCGCGCGCGCGCATGTCGAAATATGTTGAACGCCCTTGCGCGTGTGCCGTCGCGAGAATCCCCTGCAACAAATTGAACGAAGTGCAGACGCGCGCGTCGCGCGCGCGTATGCCGAAAACCTTACAAACCAATCGGTTTCGGAAAGATTTCAAAATCGTGTCCAAAAAACCTACAAAAACACAAGGTTTCGCAACACGGATGTTCAACAAAAGCGTGCGCGCGCGCTCTTGCGTCGTCGTCGTCGTCGTCGCCGTCGTCCCTCCTCCCGCGTCGTTGTCGTCGTCGTCGTCGCCTACGTCGTCCTCTGTCGTTCCTCGTCTTCGTCGTCGTCGTCCTCTTTGGCGTCGTGGTCGTTTCCGTCGTCGTTGTCGCCGTGGTCGTCCTTCCTCCTCCTCCCACGTCGTCGTCGTCCGTCGTCGGCGTCTCGTCGTCGTCCCTCCTATTTCGTCGCCGTCGTCTTCGTCGTTGTCGTCGTCGCCTTCCCTCCTCCCTCGTCGTTGTCGTCGTCGGCGTCGCCGTCCTTCCTCCTTCGTCGTCGTTCGCGTCGTCGCCGTCCTCCCTCCTCCCTCGTCGTTGTTGTCGTTGTCGTCGTTGTCGCCGTCGTCGTCCTTCCTCCTCCCTCGTCGTCGCCTTCGTTGGCGTCGTCGTCGTCGTTGTCTTCTTCGTCGTCGTCGGCGTCGTTGTCGTCGTCGAAGTCGTCGGAGACGTTGTCGGTGTCGTCGTAGTCGTTGTCGGCGGCGTCGTCGTAGTCGGTCTTAACAGGTTTTGCAAATCAAGTTGCGGGTGGGTGGGTGGGATGTTTGCGCGAGCAGTGAAGATGACGACTTCAAGTTCAGCAGAGTGGATTGCACCACATAGATTGCACCACATAGATTGCATTGCATAGATTGCTCCTCGTATATTGCATGACATCGTTTGCGCAACATATATTACACCACATGGACTGCACCACATACATTGATCCACATCGCCTGCACACCATATGCTGCTAGAAGCAAACTGCTTGGGGTCCACGATGGCGAACAACTTCTCCTTCGAGAAACGGAAGCTAGGGGGCGAAGGAGGGGCGGAAGGTGGAGCTGAAGGAGAAAGGACAGCAGCAACAGCAATAACAATAGCAGCGAGCCGAACAGCAGGAAATGCGCTCACTGCCACTGTACCTTGCCATCGGCGCTCCACATCTTCGCCTTGTCCGTGCTGTCCTGCCGGATCCCTCCTCTGAACTGAATGGGACCCCTCTGTCTCATCACCCTCATCCTTCTCCTCCCCACCTTCACCGTAAAACCCTACTGATGCTGCTGCGCCTCCTCCTCCTCCTCCTCCTCCTCCTCCTCCTCCTCCTCCTCCTCCGATGTCCCTTCATTCGGCCTCTTCCAGGGAGGGTCCCCCTCGCCCCTCTCCTCCCTCCTGCCCCCCCTCGCTCTCCTACCTGCCTCCGGCCTCTCACTCTACAACCTCACCTAATGAATGCTACTCTCCACTCTCCCCTGAGTCTGTCCGGAGGATGGTCGGCCCACTCCGCGTATACGCACAGGATTTCAAAGGTTGGTCTTGACGATCTGTTATTTCCGATCCGATTGCTTCGGTGTTCCAACATGGTGCTCCCGCTGGAGCGGCACCCGGGAAGCTACCCCCCCCTCCCCCCGTTACGAAAAGGAAAGGGGGCTTAGCCACCCCCCCCTCCCCTTGACCCCCCTCCTGCCAGAAGCTACCCCCCCTTCCCCCCTTCGGTTCCAAAGGGGGGGCCACCCCACCCTCCCCCCTTTCGGCACCCAGGAAACTCCTCCCCCCCCCTCACGAAAAGGGAAGGGGGGCTTAGCTACCCCCCCCCCCCTCCTTCGACCCCACTCTGCGGGAAGCCCCCCCTCCCTTCCCTCCATTTTTCCCCCCCTCCCCTCCTCCCCTTTCCAAAAGGGAAGGGGCGGCTTAGCTACCACCCCCTTCCCTAGAACTCCCCCTGCCGGACGATCCTCACCCGTCGCCGTCGTCGATGCCGTTGCCGTCGATCGACGTGTTCGTACGACGCCGTCGTCGTCCTCGTCGTCGTTGTCTCCGCCGTCGCCGTCATTGTCGCCGACTTCGTATGACAACGTCGTGATCGTCACGACGAGGACGAGGTCATGCGAAGACCGCGACGGACGACGGACGACGCGCGACCGACGACCGACGACGACGCCGACCCAGGGTCAGAGAAAACGAAATCACGACCAAGGGGCTGAGAAAACGAGAAAACGAACCAGGGTCCGAGAAAACGAGACCACGGCCCAGGGGCCGAGAAAACGAGAAAACGAACCAGGGTCCCAAAATAAGAGCCAGGGTCCACAAAACGAGACCACAACCCAGGGCTGAGAAAACGCGAAAACGAACCAGGGCCCGATAAAACGGGACCACGACCCAGGGGCCGACAAAACGAGACAACGAGAAAACAAATCGGTGCCCGAGAAAACGAAACCACGACCCAGGGACCGAGAAAACGAGACAACGAACCAGGGCCCGAGAAAGCGAGAACACGACCCAACGGCCGAGAACACGAAAAAACGAAATCAGGAACCAGGGCCAGAGAAAACGAAACAAAAACCCAGAAGCCGAGAAAACGAGACAACGAGGCAATGAACCAGGGACAAGGAAAACGAGATAACGACCCAGGGGCCGAGAACACGAAAAAACGATAAAACAAACCAAGGTCCGAGCAAACGAGACCACGACCCAGGCCCGAAAAAACGCAAAGATCGGTCCTAGAAACCGAGACCACAACCCAGAGACCGAGAAAACGATACAAGGAATCATGGTAGGAGAACGCGAGACTACGACCCAGGGGCCGAGAAAACGAGGAGACGATAAAACACACCAAAGTCCGAGCAAACGAGACCACAGCCCATGGGGCCGAGAAAACAAGAAACGAGAACACGAACCAGGGTCAGAGAAAACGAGACGACGCCCAGGGGCCGAGACAACGAGAAAACGAGAATACTACCCAGCGTCCGAGAAAGGGGCCGAGGAAACGAGAAAACGAACCATGGCCCGAGAAAACAAAACCACAACCCAGGGTCAGAGAACACCGGATCACGAACCAGGGCCCGAGAAAACGAGACCACGACCCAGGAGCCGAGAAAACGAGAAAACGAAAAAACGAAACGGGGTCCGAGAAAACGAAACCACGACCAAGGGGCAGAGAAAACGCGAAAACGATAAAATAAACCAGGGTCCGAGAAAACTGGACCACGACCAAGGGGCCGAGAAAACAAGAACAGGAGAAAACGAACCAGGGCCAGAGAAAACGAGACCACGACCCAGGGAACGATAAAACAAGAAGAGAAGACAGCGAATCAGGGTCAGAGAAAACCAAACCACGACACAAGGGCCGAGAAAACGAGAAAACGGGACAACGAAACAGGGGCAAAGAAAACGAAACAAAAACCCAAGAGCAAAGAAAACGAGAAAACGAACCGGGGCCCGAACCGAGACCACGACCCAGGCGCCGAGACAACGAGAAAACGAGAAAGCCCACCAGCGCCCGAGAAAACGAGACCACGACCCAGGGACCGAGAGAACGAGAAAACGAACCAAGGTCAGAGAAAACAAACCACAATCCATGGGCCGAGAAACGGATAACACGAGCAACCGAACCAGGGTCCGAGAAAACGGGACCACGATACAGGGGCCGAGAAAACGAGAAAACTAACCAGGGTCAGAGAAAACGAGACCACGACCCAGGGTCAGAGAAAACGAGATCGCGAACCAGGGGCCGAGAAAACGAGACCACGACCCAGGAGCCGAGAAAACGAGAAAGCGAGATAAAGGGAACACGAGAAAACAGGGGCTGAGAAACCACGGGCTGAGAACACGAGAAAACGAGAAAACTAACAAGGGTCCGATGGAAAATGACACCACGACCCAGGGGCCGAGAAACCAAGAAAACGAGATCACGAACCAGGGCCCCAAAAAACAACACAAAACAAATAAATGCAGAGAAAACGAGAAAACGAAACAACGAACCAGGGTCAGAGAATACGACACCAAGACCCAGGGGCCGAGAACCCGAGAACACGAACCAAAGCCCGAGCAAACGAGACCACGACCCAAGGGCACAGAAAACGCGAAAATGAACCAGGGTCCAAGAAAACACGACCACGACCCAGGGGCCGAGAAAACGAGAAAACGATGGAAGGAATCAGGGCCCGAGAAAACGAGACTACGAACAAGGGGTCGAGAAAACAAGAAACGAGAACACGAACTAGGGTCAGAGAAAACGAGACCACGACACAGGGGCCGAGAAAACAAAAAACGAGAAAACGAACCAGGCCCCGAGAAAACGAGACCACGACCCAGGGGCCGAGGAAATGAGAAAACGCGAAAACGACCCACGACCCAGGCGCAGAGAAAACGAGAAAACGAGAAAACGAACCATTGTCCGAGGAAACCACGGCCCAAGGGCCGAGATCACCTGAAAACGCTTGGCTCGAGAAAACGAGACCACGACCCAAGGGCCGAGAAAACGAAGAAACGAGAAAACGAAGCAAGGTCAGAGAAAACGAGACTACCACCCGGCCGGGGGCCGAGAAAACGAGAAAACGAGAAAACAAACCAGGGTCCGAGAAAACAAAACCACGACCCAGGGCTCGAGAAAACGAGAAAACAAAGCAGGGTCCGAGAAAACTGGACCACGACCCAGGCGCAGAGAAAACGAGAAAACGAGAACACGAACCAGGGTCAGAGAAAACGAGACCGCCACCCGGCCTAGGGCCGAGACAACGAGAAAACGAGAATACTACCCAGCGTCCGAGAAAACATAACCACGACCCAGGGGCCGAGAAAACAAGAGAACGAACCAGGGGCCGAGAAAACGAGAACATGATAAAAGGAATCAGGGCCCGATAAGAGGAGACTACGAACCAGGGGCCGAGAAAACCAGAACACGAGAAAACGAACCAGGGGTCGACTTTGTTCTCCAATGCGTTCTCTAACGCTGCGGTGCGCACCTGTCGTCAGGGATTCCGCCTCTGTGCCAGAGCCCCGGAAAGGAGGGGGGGTAGGTAGCTTCGGAAGTCCCCCACCCCTTTGCAAAGGAGGGGGGCGGGGGGTAGCTTGAAGCCGCCCCCTCCTGTGCCCAGACCAGAAAAAAAAGGAAGGGGGGTAGCTTCCGAAGCCCCCCCCCTTTGAAAGGGAAGCCCGGGCTCACCTTCTGCTCCGGAAAAGGGAGGGAGGGGGGGGATAGCTTCGAAGCCCCCCCCCTTTAGCCAGGGCACCCCTAGCTTCGAAACCCTTACAGAAGGGAGGGGGGGGTAGCTTCGGAAGCCCCCCCCTCCTTTGGAAGGGAGGGGGGGGAGGTAGCTTGAAGCTGGGACCCCCCTTTCCGTATTCCCAGCGTTGCGGGCGCGCTCTTTCCTATCTTTGGATGTGGGGTGGGGAAATAAACAGCCACTGCCGCCTCACTTGGCGACAGAACGCGCCGATTTCGCATGTGAGCGGGACCCGTCGCCAATTCACGTGCCTTCATCTGTGCGTTCGTTCCCTCGAATCCTCGGGGAGCGATGAAATCTCCTCAGACTCACCCGACAGTTGAGGGCCAACGTTGGGCGGGACCAGCTCAGGGGGGGAAGCATCGAGCTTGAATCGATGATGCACCGCTGATATGCCCCCAGTAGCGTAGTGTCACACGCTCCTGGGCGGGGTGGGATGTCAGGCCCTTATAGGCGATGCATGGACAATTGGGGGGTCCATGCGTCCCCCCCTGAGCCTATCCCCTGGTGGTCTCAGGGTTACAACTCGAACCTGCAGCGACCGTTAGGGACAATCCGGGCACCGCCGAAACGACGGCGAAGCGGAGCCGCTGAAATGCACTCAGAAGCTGGAAAACCAACGAGAACCTACGATGGTGTCCGAAAACCTCGAACCTAGAACTTCCGAAACGTTCCCCTCTGAGCCCATCCCCCCCTAATGTTGCCCATGAGGTGTGGTCACCGCGCCGTCTTCCGAGACTGCCAATGCCCGGTCCAAGTCCTGGTCGGCCCCCTTCTTGGCGCCCGCCGCCTTGCCTGGAAGAGGCGGGGGGGGCGCCCGTGGCGAGAGCGAGGGCGGGGGACAAAAGGTTGGGCAAGCTCCCCATGCGCCTCCTCCTGCACCTCTTCCTCCTCCTCCCTATCCTCCTCCTCCTCCCCCTCCTCCTCC